ATTGAATTTGAACAGTTCAGATTGATCCGTTGAATAGTTTGTCAGAAACGGCTAATTAACGCTCATCATGAAAAGCCCTATATAGTAATTCTGTTACAAGTAGCTATCATTTGATAATAAGTTGAATAAAATAAACTTCTGTTTGTTTTTATTTATTCATTCAGAAACACTATTGTGTGATTTTGTACGTTTTTGTAATACTGTTTAGTGAACATCTCACAATACAGTGTTTTTATAATACGTTATGAATTTTCATCCATTATATATGTTTTCATTTATGTTATCCTCTATGATCACTTGGATAGATGATTTGGATGATTTTGAGTTGATGTAATGACGAGTAGATTTGTTATTTTTCCTGAAATAATTTTTGTTTTGGCAGTTAGTTCTTAGTTCTAAGCAAACTTTACTACGTACCCGTTATACCATAGCATGTTCATTCGAACTACTCTCAACCATTGCAACCAAACTTTGAGAAGTCATTTAAAAATTGTTGTAATAAAAAATTCAGGAGATAATCAAACCTAAAGATGATCAGGGGATGACAACTACGTTGGTGAAACGTACGTCAAAAAAATTGTTGCAGGTCTATTGTGTATGTGAGAAGTATTATGTTGGATGAACAAAATTGTTAAAGCTTTCACGACCGAGGTTTTCAGTGTTACTATTTTCATTCGGATTTGAAGGCCGTCAATTTTTCGAATTTTATCCTGACGTTTTGCTGGCTCAAGTAACCTAGCTTATTCAGAGTTTATCCCCAATAACTGGGTATTCCTACTGCATAAAGCATGTTTATGTTGATTTAGGTAGTTTAGTGTGCTAAATCTGTACCTGGATTAGGTAAATTTTCAATAACATTTGTTGACCCTTTTCTAGCTGCCATCATGATGTTTGTACCAGTCGGCTGCGGTATTCCTGGTTGGAGGCAATGAGTTTCGTGTTTTCAAACAGAATCCTGTGGTATCCTTCACTGAGTGCGTGTTTCGCCACAGCTGACTTGTTCGTTAGGCCTGTCTGCCGTTTTCAATCTTGTTTTCATAGATCTTTTGGTGGTTCCGATGTACACCTTCCCACAAGTGCACGGTATGCGATATATTCCTGTTGCTGATAGTCGGCTAAAGACAAAGGAGACCCATCGGAGATAAACCAAAGACGTATGAAGCTAGCCACTCGCACCAGCGAAAAGTCAGAAAGAAATTTCAAAAATCGACGACGTTGCGAATGAAAATTTTGTTGTATCATTATTCATCTTCATTTGAGTTATTTAGAAAAAGCATTATTCGAGTTCGATGGTAGTGATCTAATGGCTTCGCACAATAATTTTTTTCTTCTAGACCGGTTTTCTGTAAAGGGACTGATTTTTGTTGCCATGTTATACATCGAAGTTATCTGTTTGCTATGAAACAGTTTGATTCGTACATCTCTGTAAGTTGGAAACAGGAATTTTTTAGTGTTGAGTTTTTTTCTAATTTTATACTTATAGATTGCAATAGCGAAGTTGGTTGTCTTTGTTGATTATCTCATTGCTCAGGCTACAGCTTGGTCCATTTTGCATATATCTATTCTTGGGTCATGGAATTCAGCTAATCGATATCTGCTTTGACGATAACACTGCTGGATACGGTAATAACAAGATTACCAGTGGAACTTGCCTCATCCTGAAGTAGATATATTCGTTTCATAATGATTGATGATTTTGAGTCCAACAGTTATTACTAATGGAATATTCGTCATGAAAAGTATTGTCAAGGTAATGCCGGACTCTGCTGTGAAGAAATTATTTCTAGCCATTCATGAAACGTTTTATCGATTTTAAAGTAACCAAAAAATCTGAGGTCGACTAAATAACCCCAACTAACCTTCCTGTAACATCGAATCGAGAGCAAGTTCTATTGAATTGAATCAGAGGCTGATTACCTTTATTGCAAAGTGTTTTAACCAGTCCCAAATATTCACGATTTTTGCATTCACTTTTAGTTAAATTAGGTTAGAGATTTTTAAAAAACGTATGTTATCAAACCATTACCCAAATTCCTAATCAATTTAATACATCGTGTCTTCTTCCTCCAGTAGCTGCATTCTTCATTGGTTAGGTTAGAGTTTGTTGATATCATTCTTCTGCATGTAATAAATTGAAATTATACAACCCTTTCAATTGGAATGAATATGTTTTGAATCTTAACTTCCATTATGATTTTTGAAAATGATGAAAATATCACCCAATGTGAAGAGTCATTTTGCTTTCATTTCATATATTAACTAATCTACATTTATGTGAAGTAATCTACATTCATTCGTCATTCACTTGAACGAGAACGGAAAACAATGTCCTCCTCTTAAATTATCATAAACCAGGTACTGAAATGATTCCATCTTCACTTCTGTTTGTTCACGAACAAAATATAAATACTTTTGGTCTACGAGTTTGCCTGGTACTACGACTTCCTGGTAAATAGCTCTTCCGATGTACACCAAATTGTTATGTTCAATTCCTCCTTCAACAACTTTATTTCTCATTGCATCCCTTCTGAAAAATCGAGAGTAAAATGGCATCCATGTGAAAAATTGTTTTTCTGAGCTGCACAGGATCTAGAAAATGTCGAAGGTTACAATCCTGAAATTTTGGAAACAAAATTGCCAATGGTCGAATTATTGAATTGAATTGTTGAACAAATATTTGTTTTAGTTCAACTGAGATAACTGTTTTCAATCAGTAGTCTTTGTTTTGAAACTCAATTTGGAATTCAATTCATTTTATTATTGTTGAAAAAATAGTAAACCAGGATCATATTTCAAGTATTTTTCCAACGAATCCTCGATATTTCTATTAATCCCAGACAATAGTAGTTCTGCCGGGGAATGATACCTTTCCTTTAAATTGTCATACGGTGAGTTTCAAAAAGTTTGCACCATATGGGAAACATTTTCGTTTTCCATTTGTCAGAAAATTTTATTCGTGATAACAATTGGTGCGTTGCGGAAAACTCGGATGTGAGTTGTCAAAATTTTAAATTTCCGAACGGTTTACAGGGGAGAACAAAAAATAGAAATTTTGATCAAGAGTAAACTACCCTTATTTTCGACATTATTAAAAAAGGTTGTTACATATTACTATAATAATATTTCAATACGAAATTCAGTCCAATTCATTCTTCGAACTGGTATATTGATGTTTGTTGAAAATGGTTTGAATATTTACTAGTTTTTTGTTGCAAAATTGATATTTAACTCTGTATGTATGTACATACTGGCTACCAGTATGATTGAATGACAAGAAATAATTGAATTATTTGATTAATACTAAACAATTGAGTAAAACAAATCTCTGAGTTAACGATCAGTCTAACCATAGTGTTACCTCAAAGGGTAGTCCCAATTTACATATATATGTATTGAACATAAATAAAAACCAAATTACAGAAACGTTTATAAACCTGAATGAAAGCTGCACATTCCCAGCTTAGATAACTACAGGTTCACTTGTGAGAATCAGGAAAGGCTATCGTGAGTGGTGAGTGCCTTCCTGAAATATGTCACAAAAGACCTACTTCCCAGGCCACACATCTGTGTGGATTGTTATTCACAAAAAAAATTAAAGCCCTGGTAGCTGAACATATCTGTCGCGAACTGGATCAGGCTTCCAGCGCTCACTCTTGCAAGGTGACCTGAAAGATCACGATTTGATTTCATTGAATTTGAACAGTTATGAACCACAATAAACCTTCGGAGATTGCAATGGAGGATCGAATAGACCCACTCTATTTGGACATAAGTACCTGGCTACCTCTACCTTCACTGTTGGATTATTATTCAAGTTCATTTAGGTAACACAGAGAAAACATTA